GGGGATTCCTAAGATGGACTCAGTATTTCTTCTTATTTATTAAGATTATTTAAGGTTAACATTGTCTAATACTTAAAGTAGTTTGATGATCTGACACATCTAAGTGTGACAGTGTAACAAGTGTAACAAAGTAGTGAATAAGTCCAAGTTTGATCATATTTGGTTTCTTGGCAAAATATTTCCACATTTCTTTCAAATTAATCAGGTGTGGAGTGACCGAGTCCTTCTAAGGAGGAACTGGTACTGGTAAGAAACGTATCAGCTGACACACCTACTGATGAACGCACAGATATAAGGCCAAACATGACCTTTGTTGGCTGAGTTCATCACGAGAAGTTATTGACATTCATTAAGACACTTGCAGTGAATATCTGTGGCTGTTAAATCTCATCTCATACAGGACAATCTGCTCTTGCTCGTTTGTGAAAAGATCCAATAGATCGATGTATTCCAGACTGTAGACAGCAAACATCTCTACAACCAGTGTTTTGGGACTGAAGTGTTCAGTAGTTTCTCAGATCCTTAAAACAGTTGCAGAGACGTCTCCAGAAAGACAGAACAGATACATTTACTATTAAAGTAATAATGACTAATTAGTACTTCAGTTACTCTGATGACGTACATGTTTCTGTCTGTCAGGTCCTCAAAATTGTATCCTCGGATGCGTTGGTGGGTGTCAGATGCGAGGACTGTGCGGCCGTCACTGAGACACCACAGGCACTGCACCCGAACTCCCTCCCAGGAGTCCAGGAGGTTTCCATCCAAGTCCTGGGAGTTCACCAGAAACAAAGCAAAAGCAGGAGGACGTCAGCCTGGAAATGATTGTTATCAGTCCAGAAACACTCACCGGACAGTTTAATGTGGGACCAGGTGCAACCTTCTTTTCACTTTAACACTGAATTAATTTTGAGCATCACAGATTCAGCAAAATGCTAAAAAATATTTCTGAGGTTTTGCACTAAATATTTAGCAATGAGCTGAGACACAAGCGCTCACCCCGATTTGTTTTTAATTTGTGGTCCCTTTTCAATAATAATAAAAACTAGAATGTGCAGCTCCTGGAGGGTTTGCAGTGGGATGGATGCTACCTGTGGACTGTAGCTCGCTGTCAGGGAAGGAGGAGAGAAACAGCTGTGCCTAATAAAGTGGCAGACACTGGAAATTGATGCGTGTTTATGTTAATCATGCTGTAAGTTCATAATGAGTAGGCAGCAATGTGGAGAAAACTATAACTGCAGACAGACAGGTGCAGTTTCTTTACACTGAAGCGATTCTGTCACCACGCTGAGAAACTGTGAGGACAATAAATCACAACAACATGACAACCACTGATGATGATGTGAGACGCGGTCGCAGGACGGTGCTGAATAACACACAGTTCAGACTTCAGGATTCGATTTATTCTTTAGATTTCTTTAAACTCTTAGTTTGTGCAAAAGTCTTGAGTCATCAGGTCTATGTTAGTACAAGAGGCCAGACTGTCACATACTGTCCTTAGAGTGCTCTCCAGCTGTACGAGGCTGTTTTAAACATTAGATGACTATAAAAAATGGTTCAGGCTACTACATGAATTCAATAAATTTAAAGCTTTTGACATGCAGTTTGTTTTTGTTGTTGTTCTTGAAACCTTCAATAAGAGGAGAGTCTGAGCTCTCACAGTGACAAAGATAACGAGACGGATGTTTTCATGAACGCAGCAGACGTATACAAACTAAACAGACATGCTCCGACTCGTCAGCACAAATGACTTCTGCATATTTTTAAGTTACACTTTATTCTAATGATGTCTGGTGAAGTCTTGTTCTCAGCTCACTACATATGATCTGTGCGTATCAGGACAATGATGTCAGTGATGTCTCACTGCAAAAACATGTGTGGTTTGTAACATACATCATTTATATAAAAACTGGCCACACCATTAAAACACCAGATTTTCCAAGAATTCATAGTTTACATTATGTCTAGTGTTTGTAAGGCTCCGCCCTCTGTAGCTGTACGTGTGTTGCTGCAACAGACGTAGGCTGCCGGGGATTCCCATGATGCACTGGGTGTTTCTTCTTCACTCACTGTATTAACAGACCTCTCTGCATTGAATCATATCTGTTATTAACCTCTGTCTCTCTTCCACAGCATGTCTTTATCCTGTCTTCCTTCTCTCACCCCAACAGCAGATGGCCCCGCCCCTCCCTGAGCCTGGTTCTGCCGGAGGTTTCTTCCTGTTAAAAGGGAGTTTTTCCTTCCCACTGTCGCCAAAGTGCTGCTCATAGGGGCTCATATGATTGTTGGGCTTTTTCCTTACAATATAAAGCGCCTTGAGGCGACTTGTTGTGATTTGGTGCTGTGTAAATAAAGTTGAATTGGACTGAAAGTGAATTGTGTTAATAAGCTTGTGTTGGAACAGACTTCCAACTGACATCAGTCTCTTTACTTTAACCTCCTGAGACCTGAACTCTTCCACGGCAGCATTTTTAATTTCTCTTTGATATTTGGGCTGATTGGGACCTGATGAATGTAAAAACAAAGAATTAACAGATTTTTTTTTACCTTATTTTTGTTTCTAAGAAAAATCAGAGCCACAAATGAGGATATTTGTTTAAACTTTCAATAGGACAGTAGCAGGATAACGTCCTCGTAAGTGGATATCAGGCCCTTGTAGAGCACAATTGAGTATTTTGGTCTAAATAACCCAACATGTGATGTCCACATATGTGGACGCCAGGTCCGAGGAGGTTAAAGGTCAAAGTTTGGTTAAAGGGAAATCAGAGCTGTCTTCCTTTTAATTAATGTTGTTGTTGTTTGTTTGTTTTTGTTTGTAGTCTTTTTAAAGTTATCATCTATTACTTGTAGTTGTATTTATGATGTATTTTGGATGAAAATGTATGTTTTATTCTAAAACGTCTGATGTGTGATTGTAGCCCAACAAGGGACAGTGGTTGAAAATTAGCAACAGCTATAAGCGTTGCATCAGCTTCATGTTTTACACCATGTTAAACTGCAGCGTCCCTTCTAAGGAAAGAAAGGCTCCGTGCGATGTGCATTCAGGGAAGCTTCCCGTCTTGGTTTTTCCACATGTTTGAATCAGTCTGTTCTCCTGCGACATGGAGACAAGGTTTCCTGCCTGTAAGGCTGTGTTGGAGCCTGTGGACACAGTGCCCATGCAGCGAGGATACTCACACACTGGTAGAACTGGCCCCTCTGGCCGCCGGTGACAAAGCGTTTGCCATCTGGGTTCCAGGCCACGCTGGTTAGGCTATCCTCGTGGGACTGACTCATCTTTGTTCGCAACTCCCCCGTCTGTGCAGTAGAGCCCAGAGCACACAGAACAGATCAGACACCAAACATACTAAACACACAGAGATCAGTTTTCTCTGATTGGTCTATGAAAAGGTCACATTGAAAAGGAACGTCTGCAGGTCCAGTTTCACACGAACAAAGCAGCTGGTGTGGAGCAGGACTCGTTTCAGGACGCACTGATAATCAGTTAACAACCCAGCCAACTCTCACTCGCTCTCCAGCTCTTCGGTGCATAAACGCATCTCTCATGTCAGCCAGGTTTCTTGTAGGCAGCGACTCTAACAAATCCACTGTGCACAGTCAGCTTGGAGCACTGTTCACAAGTGCAGGCAATTTATTGATGTTGAGACTCTCATCATCTTTAACCCTTTAGAGCAGAAATATTCCAGGTAGCTCGGTAAACTGGCAACAGCTGCGCTCAGATGGACTGCACGAGGAAACCGTTTTACAGCGAGAGCGTGATCTCTGAACATAAAAACCCAGAAGGACTCAGGGTTTCTTCAGCTTCAGATACAACATCATTAATAGATTTAAAGAGCGGAGCTCATGTTCCCTGCACTGGTTGCTGGACTCATTATTCAGCAGGTTGCTTCATCAATTATGTCATGATGCGATGACGATGCTCAAACCCTGCATGCAAGCTTTGATCTGACCCTCAGCTGCACTCATCGTACTGCTGCTACATGAACACAGACTGTGCACACGCTGAACACAGTTGGAACGTCGCTATTCAGCGCTCACCTGAATTGTCAGATGTACAAATATTTCCAAGTATGAGATTTGTACTCGAGTCACAATGATGGGGGGCCTCGGACCGGTCCATGAGTCGTTTGGTACCGGGCCGAGAGCTGAGGCTCAGCTGTGAAATGTCTGGTTTTCAGGGTTTTTATCGTTTTCAGCGTTATTTTGTTATCGTTTTATCGTTTACTCGGTGTTCCTGGCTCTTTTCACGTGTGTTATGAATAAATCTTCTTTTTTCGGTACCAGTACTACTTTTATTTTGTTGTATTTATCCGCGACACCTTAACGGCCGGTCCGTGAAAATATTGTCGGGCATAAACCAGTCGGTGGCGCAACAAAGGGTGGGGACCGCTGTACTAAGCCATAAAGACGTTGGCACTCAGTGTCCTGGACAAACTTTCATTAAGACTGGTCCCCTTGTCCAGGAGAAGATAGGGAACACATGAACGCAGTATGATCTCTTTACAAATAATGAAGGTAAGGTGTATTTTAGAGCTTTTGCTCAATATTTTGTTTCCCAGCTAACACAGTCTTATTGAACATGATGCTATAAGCTTGGCACACCTATGTTTGGTAGTTTCAGCCATTCTTCTTTGCAGAACCTCAAACTTCATCAGGTTAATGGCGAGCGTCAGTGCACGGCCATTTTCAGGTCTCTCTCCAGAGATGTTCAGTCTGGCGTCTTAGGGTCACTGTCTTGGTCCCGGTCCGAGGTCCAGAGCTTATTATCAAGGACGTCTCTGCACACCGGTGCACTGATCTTTGCCTCTCCCCTGAGTCGAGTCTCACAGAAAGTGTCCCCACAGCGTGACAGTGCTACTGCCATGCTTCACTGCAGGGGGATTGGCCAGGTGAGCAACACCTGGTTTCCCTCAGACGTGACTCATTCAGCTCAAAGAGTTCAGTCTGTGTTTCATCAGACCAAAGAATTTTGTTTCTCGTGGTCTGAGAGTCCTTCAGGTGACTTTTAGCAAACTCCAGATTTACAGGGGAGTGGTTTCCATCTGGCCACTCTACCACAGAGACCCAGCTGGTTAATGCTTTGAGCCATTCATGCTCCCCCTTGGCCACTTATCCACCTTAGCATCAGGGGGAGAAAGGAGCCTACCACTGCTGAGCATGTTTGGAACGCCGGAGGAATCGCAGAGTAAACCCACACGGTGAAAACAGACCGACCAAAGAAAGGCCCTCGCCATCCTCCTGGACATGCTCATCTCCTTGCTATATGGACAGTACTTCCTTTCCGTACCTGCACATTCCACAGCCACAGCTCGGAGCAGTCGTCAGGGCCGCAGGCTATCAGATAAGCATCATCAGGGCTCCATGCCAGGTAGGAAACTCCATAAGCATGACCTTCAAGAGTCTTCATCAACTTCAGCTGCTGGATGTCCTGTGACCCAACACACAAACATCCATGTTCCAGTTACTACAGCCGTTGTAATAACTCACTGACTGATTGTTGCTATTCTGAAGTGTAACTCTTGATAAGCAAATGACTGGTTACCATGTCGACTTGCCACACAATGACTGTGGTGTCTTTGGAGCCAGTTGCCAGTTTTGTGCCATCGTTGGAGAACTTGCAGAACCAGACTTCATTGCAGTGTTCTGTGAGAATCTGCTGTGTGTAGCAGGGGAACTGTTTCCTTTACACACAC